GAGTGAGATGTTAAGAAATCTACTTTTAACCTAATTTAATTGGAGTGGAACAATAAGGATTGGTAGATATGATTAAATTATCATCTAAAGGTTTAGATAAGCTCTTATTATAAAACATCATCCTAACTGGAGGTGGAGCAAAAACATAAGGAATCATGTAAAGATTGTAGAAAGATTTAATATCAGAATATGATTGCCCAATTGATATTAAAATAGCTTCTGATCCAGTATTTGGAACTTGGTTTGGAATGAAAAACTTTGCGAATAAATATTAAAGCATGCTTTCTTAATTTTCTATATCAATTGATGATTATAATGAAATTGGTACTTAAAAATGGGAGATATTTAAATAGCATCCATTTTCAAATATTGTAGATTGAAAAATATTATACATATTTTTTATAAATCCTATATTCTAAATATAAGATATCATGTAAAACTTATTTCAGGGGCTAAGTATTCTTTTTATGTAACTTTAATATTTAAATTTTCTTCACATAAAAAATATAATGGGAAAGTTACTGCATGACCTTTAATAAACTACTTTAATTTATCGTATTCATCTAAGTGTTTGTTTGCTTTAAACTAAAATTAATTAAATAATTGAATACTTCTTCATAATCAGATACTTTCTTAATATCATCATGAGGATAACAAGCAAAAATTTATTTATAAATTCTTGTATTAATGTTAGCTTATGCAGTTGATTCCTTTTCAAATTATAAACTCAAGGGATCAATGACTTATTCATATTTCATATCGAAATGTTCCATATAAAGTGCAGTACGAAGAGTATGTGCAAATTTAGATGCTTTATATGGTATACCATTCATTATAGAATCAACTTTTATTTAATCTTAAACAATAATTGCAAGTTCTGAATCTCTTTTTCCTAATAAACTTCTATCATTGATATTTGCAGATCCTATTAATGCAATTTCATCATCAACTATGATTAATTTTGAATGAATATAAATAATTTCAGTCACAGGTATTGAATTTGGTTCTGGAGATAATTCATGTTACCTAAGACCGAAGAATTAAATGTAATTTTCTGGTTTGATTCCATCTTATTTTAAGGTTTCTATTATAGATTTGCCTCCTCTACTTATGGTTTGATATTCAAAATGTAATTAAACTTTAAGAACAGCAGAATTTGATTAATCAATTTCACCTTCAAAACCTGGTAATAATGGAACAAAGACAATAACTTTAAATCTCTATTACTTTTCATGTGCTTCTTTAATTCTAGATATTAGAGCATTAGCCACCAAATTTTTAACAGGATTACCAGCTGTATTACTAATAAAAAATTGATTTTCAATATAAATAAAATGTTAAGCATTTTTAATAAGTGAGAGATAGGCATTTTAAATAGATTTCTCAGTTTATTTAATACCAGTTGACCATTTACAAGATGATCTTGCTAATTATGTTACACATCTTTCTATAAATAAAGATGGAAATAATTACATTAATTTTAATTCATATCAATATGAGGAATGAAAAATTCTAAATTAATTTTTGCTTACATTCCTTCATAATCTTACTCATCTATTTAATCAAATTTTTCATCTTAAATTTTACTTTTTTGTTTATTTTAATTTTCTAAAATATAATAATGTTGTTCTTCATCATCGTCTTCTATTGTTTACCTCAATTATTTTTCTTACATTTAGTAATTATAGAAATCTTTATATTGCTATTGAATAAACTGCTGGGAATTAGATTGTTCTTAGATGACAGTTTCTTCTTATTAAATTGTTTAATTTTTTTCTATTTAAACTTCTTTCGTTTTTATTTAATCTAAAAGAATCGGTTGTTTCATTTAAATTAAAGATTCCCTTCTTCCAGAATAAATAACATTTGAATAATCAATAAAACTTGAAGTATCAGTAGGAACAAATCCTTCCATTTTTAAATCATTAGCATGTAATAATTCTTACTTCTTCTTTTTTTATTTAGTCATCATTACATGATTCCAATATTAAACAAAATGTCTTGATAAATCAATAACTGAATCTCCTTTAATTTCTATAAAAATATAATAAATAATTACAAATAGCTATATCATGCCAAGGCATTCTTGGTTCATTTTCTTTTAAAAGTGTTTATTCGTAATTTCTTACATCAAAGAAATCTCTAACTCTAGAATTTGAAAAATCAATTTAAGGCCATAATTATTCAAAAGGATGAACCTCAAATAAAAGATGTTTTTAATTATCCCATCTTCCAAAACATAAATCTAAACCACCCATAAATCCAATTTTTTAATCTATAACAACCATTTTTTCATGATGAGAAAATAATTTAGGTATTGCTTGAGATGGATGTTTTAATACCCTAATATTTGGAGACATACTTTCTAATTACATTTTTGAATGTTTTGGATCATTATATAAAAATGATAGTAAAGCATTGTACAATAATACTAAAACTTTAACTCCTTTATCAGCTGCTAATTTCAATACATTATCAAGTCTAGTATAAAGAAATTCACTCGATTAAGCATATTTCCTAACGTCAACAGGTCTCTTTAAATACATTTCTGGACTCAACCACCAATCAGTAATATAGATAGTTTCTTTAGCTTACAAGATTGCATCACAAACATCTTCAAAATATTAATCTCCATCAATATACCATTTACAATCTGAAGTTCTTATTGGAGAAAATGATCCAAATCTATGCCACTTTGTATATGGACTTTCCTTTAACGATTTAAAAAGTGCATACATAAAGTCGATATAGGCTGTCAAATTTTCAGCTTTCAAGACTAATTTTCTCTATGAAAAGGATATTATTATTTTATTATGATCACCTGTCTCTTTTTTGCCATGCAAAAAGCTGAAATCAGCATCAAAACTTAGACATTCTCGAATTTAACATTTATCTTTTTCAGGACCTTCTAAGTAGAGAAGGGATTATTAAGTTATTATAAAATATCTCTTTTTCCACCTGACAAGTTTTTGTTTTAATTCCTAAAATCTTTATGTTGATCTACCACCAGATTTCTTTTCCATAAAGCCTTCTTTCATTTTGAATGGTAAATTGATACAAGAAATCTCTAAAAATGTTAATGCACTTTATGGTATAATTTCATTGCTTGTTATCATCTTTAAGAATTTATGAAGTAGAAGTAATGCTTTTTTTGGATCTTCTTTATCTAAATCTCCTGTGATCTTATTTTTTTAGAAAATTTTGTAAAATATATTATTGGCCATATCCTTTTCTAATTGTTAAAATTATCCTATTGTTCTTCTTATTTCCCAACTCTAGCCATCATAGATCACTTTGAATAAAAATACTCTTTCATTCAAATAATTTGAGTATTTTTTTTCAAATTTCTGATCAAATACTTGATTATTTAATGATCCAATCAACTCTTTTATAGTAGCTTAACTAAGGGGTTAAATATCTATTTTATTATATTAAATATCCCTTAATCTCTATTAAGTTAAAGAATTTGCCATCTACTTCATTTTTTTATTTTTAATTAAATTTATTGTACAAAATTTCAACCATTTCAATCTAGTTTTGGGATTGCTAATTTAGAAAAAATGGCTAAATATTCGTATTCAGGACCTTAATTATTAATTAAATTAGCTAATTTAAAATTTAGATCAAGATTATTTTCAATATGAAATAGTTCTTTTTTTAGAAAATCAAGCTAATAACGAAATATGATGAGTCTAATAAACAGACTAAGCAAAAAGAAAGAAATTTTTATTGAATTAAGCAATTTTAAATGTCAATAAATGGTTAAAAACCGTTAATTAATCCTAATTTAAAGAGAAATCTACATCTTTATTAAAAAATTTCTTGTCTTTTAACCTTTTTGAACTTATTATTAATAAACTTTATATTATTAAGTATTTGTTCTTTCTGATTAATTGTAAAGCCTAAATTAGTGATAATATACTATATTTTAAGGAAGAAATATGTTTTAAGTTAGAAAATATGAATAATATTTTAAATAATAAAACATAATGAATTCTAATATATAGAAAGTAGGTGAGGCCACTTGTATGGTTTTCTTTCTTAGATTTCTACTTAAATTATCATTTAATACGTTATTAATATATTACAAAGTGTTTATGTGTTAAAATAATAATTCATAGAGAGGAATTAAATATTTGTGGCATTCTCTTGACTGAGAATTTGAGAATATTAGAGTTTTTAATGGAAAAAATGACTTCTTTTCATTAGTGGATGATGTATAATATGAAGATTGCAAATTTAATTAAGATTATCAAAAGTTTTACTTATAAAAATAATTAGTTAAGAATTATAAAATGTTTAAATTTATCAGCTATTGATAGAAATTGAAGAAAGAAACTCATCATAATAGATTCTGCATCTAATCAAGCATAAATCAATATCACTAACACTCAAAATATAATTCTAAGATTTATGCAATCAGTTTATAAATACCTAGAAATTAGTATTATTAGTAAGTTAAAAAATAAGATCTAAATACAATATGGATTTATATGAGGAGATAAGTTTAATGGTAAAAAGAATGGCTATTGAAAACTAAATTCTTATGTTGGTGGATATGAAGGAAAAGTTTTAGGTTTTGATCTATCTTGAAAGGGATTGTTTGTTTTTAATAGATAGGAGGAGAATTTATAAAGAATCACTTTAAGATGGGAAATATAATAATTTCTAATATTTAATCAATTCAAATCCAAATTTTACTCAAAATTATAATTTTAGAGATTAGGTATATTGGGAATTATTGATCAGAATATGAAGATAATTCTAAATCTTATAAAATACAAGTTTAGGGGAGATTATATTTAAGAAGTGAAGTAAAGTTGTCAGTAGAGTTTGTAGATGATGTTCTAAGATGACTTGCCTCAATTTTTGGAATGTTTGTTGAAGTAACAAGAAAATGGGTTAAAGGCATTTTATTTGAATGAGTTAGTGATGTTTATTTTTTTACAGGATTTTTAGATCTTAAAAGATCAATTAAATAATACATTATTTATTATATTATGGAACATAGATAACTATTAGAAACTCTGGTTTTCGATTTATTAAATAGTCCAGTCAACCCATTAATTTAAGTACACTTTCAAAATATGTTAGTATCGAGACTTTCAAATTTAACACATTTGTAAATAAATTGGAGTTAATGAATATGGAGGTTAAAGAGATGCAATTTTTTTTAAGCATTTTGCTTCCCATTTTATTTCATATTTAAATGAAAAAAATGAAATCTAAACTATCATTTAATAAGCTCAAATTTCTAGAAATTAGTCTAAAACATAGGAACTATAAGAAAATAAATAAATTACATTACCTCAAAAACTATAGTAAATTGCAAGTCCCATTTGTTAAAAACCAAAAAATGATATGGTTTAAATAATTGATGATGAAATAGCAGACTCAAATAAGCGAAAAATTGATTTGGAGGCATTTCTTCCAAAATCCTATTTATCTGTGCCAAATTTTATTGGGGTTAATTTAGACATAAATAATAATCAATTTAATAAATCAAATGATAACTCTAAACATATATCTACAAAAACAGCATCAAATAAATAGGATACTAAATCTAAAGATTTAAAACTTATTCCTGATCTTATTGTCAAAAAGAAAAGCGAGAAAACTCCTCAAAAAAATGATAATCATAACAAAACACATACATTTTATGAACCTATTGAATATAAAGATACCTAATTAAATAGATCTCTTTAATCTAAAACAGAACTTTAAAATAATTGCAAAAAGAAAAAGCTGTCTCCATCTTTAGATTAAATTAAAAAAAAAGATAATAAATAACTTAAACAAGATTCTTAATCTGAATCGCTTGAATTAAGAACATCAGAAGATTTATCATTGAGAGAAGATAGTATTAAAAAGAAGGAGAATATTAAATTATTAAATAAATAGGAGAAGAAATTAAGTAAAGACTTAGAAAATTTTAATAAAAAAGACAAATTATTGAAAATTGAAAAAAAAAAACATTTAGAAATTGATATAAAATAATAAATTGAAAAATCAACTAAATAGATTATTCCAATGATTGAAAAAAAAGATAGAAAGAAAAAAGAAAGGTTAGAAAGTGATAAATTAAAAAAAGAGAAAAAAGATTTAGAAAGATTATAATAATTAAAAGAGAAAAATTAAATATTAGAAAGATTAGAAAAAGAAAAATAGAATAAAGAGAAATAAGAAAAAGAAAGATTGGAGAAAGAAAGGTTAGATAAATTTGAAAAAGAAAGAGCAGAAAGATTAGAAAAAGAAAGATAAGATAGAATTGAACTTTTAGAAAAATAAAAATAAGAAAGGGAAAAATAGGATAGATTAGAAAAAGAGAGATAGGAAAGATTAGAAAGAAGTGATAAACATCGATAAAAAGAAACTTAAGAATTAGAATCAATTATTGAAAAACTATTGTGTACTAATCCAAATGAAACATCTAAAATTAAAAAAAATTAAGAATAAGTAATTATTTTAGATAGCAATGATAAAGTTACTAAAAAATTAGAAAAAGAATAATCAAAATTAGAAAAACCTTAATGTAATTATTGTTAAAGTATGGATACAAAAACTATTGAAATTTAAGATGGAGTAAGAATATGTACATAATGTTTGTTAGTATCCATTAATCCATTCTAAAAAATCATAACAAAATTAGCTTATACTGAATACAGATGCTCAGGTAAAGAAAATGCAAAAACAAGTCAAACCTTTAATATTGATACTTCTACTAATTGCAATCTTGAGATAAGATGTGTTGCTTTGAATAAATAAGGATTATATGACTTGACTTTTCCAATGTCTTGTACTCTCTTAATAAATGGAGCCACTATAAAAGAGATCAGACCATTGTAAGAAAAATCAAGCTTAAAAAAAAGGAGAGATACTTCAATTTACATCAATATCAAAGATTTAATAAGATAAAATAACTTTTCTAAGAAATTTGTATTTTCAATAATAGAACATTTGGCAGATTAATAATATCGTAAAGATACTATTGGTTCAATCTATTGTTTTGGTTTGTTTTTGGTAGAACCATTGAATGTAATACAAACAATTGATAAATTTAAATAATTAGATATTTAACCAAAGATTAAATCTGATTAAAATAAAAAAGAAATATAAGTTGCTAAAACAATTATTAGTCTCTATTGTTAATTTACTTTAGAATTAATTCAAATTCCAGCAAAGTAAATCAATATTATATATTATTTTAGAGGTGAATTTTGTCAACATGAATAATGTTTTTGTCTATGCAGTTTCCTTGAGATGATGATTAAAGTAGAACATAAAAAATGGATATGTCCAATATGCAAAAAAGTATGTTTTCATTTGGTTATTGACAAATATCAATTATTTATTATTGAAAGAATCAAAAAATTAGAAATTTCAATTGATCAACTAGCATTAGATCATACTGTATTATAATCAAACTAATATAGGGTTAATTGGATAAAGATTAATAAATCAATTTAATATTATAAGATGAAACAATAAAAACATATTAAGATATAATTGATAAGGGATATTAGAATATTAATAGAATTAACAAAAATGAAGATGAAGATGATATTCCTATTGTAACTAATGCTGGAAAGAGTTAAAATTTAGCTATAATATTAATTGATGATTGAGCATTAATTCTTTTTTAAATTTATATAGATATTTCAAGTTATTTTAAAGTCATATAAATATTATACTCTACTTATCCTACTCCTAAATAATTAATAATTGATATTCTTAATATTAATAATTATATAGATATAATTTCTAAACATTATTAAATTTATATTTTGAAAATAAAAAAAGGCAGGAATTTAAAAATTTGATGATTTAATTAGGATGCATTTAGGTTATAATATTTTTAAATACTTATTCCTTAATGAAAAATATAATTACCCTTCCTTTATATTTGACAAAAAGAAAATGTTTTTTTTTTGTGTTTTTGAACCAATTTTCTCTAGAGCATCAGTAATCATGTGATGGCTGTTAATATATCAAAAATTATAGTGAAAAATTTTATTGATCTTAGTTTGAGATACATAATATTAATTGTATTGGCAAGTTAATCAATCTAAAACTTATGTAAAATGTTTTAGTAGTTTTATTTTATTTTTAAGTGGATATTTAAAAATCAAATATAAAAAAGTTAAAAAATAAAAATTGTTTTTTTTTTTTAATTTTAAAAGATTATTAATATATTAATTCTTTACAAATATATAAAATAGACCAATTTTACAATCAATTTAAATTAATTTTAGGCAATTTTTACATAGAAAAAGGATAAAAATCTAGAGTATTTAAGCATATCATCTAATTATTTAAAACTTGATTCTTGTGGATTTTAACAAAATAATAAATATCTTTTTTGCAAATTTGGGATTTAATTTTAGTATTTTCAAGAAACATTTATAATAATATATATGTTGATAATAATAATATTTTACTTCATTTTTGAAGCTTGCCCATATTCCATTTTCCTTAAATTGACTGTCCATTCTTATATGAATATGTGCCAAAGCCATGAATTTATCCATCTTTAAATGCTCCTATATATTTATCACCATTGCTAAAAGAAAGAGTTCCAAAACCTTCTCTATTATCTCTTTTAAATGCTCCTTCATATTTAAGCCAACATGTAATATTAGATAGATTATTATGATCTAATCCAGAAATCATTGGGATTTAATCTTAGTTGTATTCAATACCTTGACCATGATATTGATCATCTGTCCACTGACCATCATAAATAACTTTGCCTTGAGTATTATACAATACTCCTTTTCCACTCATTTTGTTATCCTTCCACATTCCATCATAATAACTTCCATCATTATGAATAAACTTCCCTTTTCCATGTCTTAAACCATTTCTCTTCATTCCTAAATATCTGGATCCATTGGGATATCTTTCTTTTACATTTTCAACTATTATTTTTAGTCAAGAATAGAATACCTAGGTCTTTTTACTTAGTTGGCTCATTTCCAATTAGACCTAACACATCGTATTAATCATAAGTATTTGGTTCTCCTAATAGTTCTTATCCACCACCTCCAATTAATTAAGATACATCTTATTATTAATATTGTTATTCCAATTGTTATTCCTGAGGTTGCTCTAAGATTATTTATACAGGAGTAATAGATTATTTGCATTTAGGATTTTTATCTAATCTTTCAAATAATTATTAGGCATTTGGTCTTTATGATACTTTAACAGTTAACATATCTTTGATGATGTAAAAAAAGAAATCATGACATTAAATTTTAATGGTTTGTAAATGAGATTATATTTTATCTTCAAATATGACACCTTAATCATAATCATAACAAAGGGATGATAATTTTCCACTACATAGTTATAGAAATACCATTCCCAAAGAGTAGATGTCTGATTTAAACCAATCAACATTTGGTTCTTTATTTCCTTTATCTAATTCACTTACTAATTCAGGAGACAGATAAGATATTTTAGAATATTTGTGTTTATCACTATATAATCTTTGATAATCATTTTTATGATCAAATAAATGAGGATCTGCTATTTTATATTTATCTTATGTAATATAAATATTTCTCATTCTTAAAGCTTGATGAACAATTCCATTTTAATGTAAATAATTCAAACCATTTATACATTAATAAATTATTGGATAAAATTCATCTTATTAATATGGAATTTTATTTTCAATTCTTTATTGAAATTCTGATGCAAAATCTGTCAAAATATAATCAAATATCAAAAATGATTTATAAATTGATGTACAGAATCCTTCCTCTTATCTTGACATATATTCTTTTAATTACACAATGTTATCATTTTATAATAATTTACGTTAGAGAAATTGTTAATTCTACTCTTCAAAATCTGATTAATATAAAAACTCTTAAACTTTTAATACTGCTAATATCTTAGTTTGTTTATTCTCTAATAGAACTACATCCCCATACCATTCATCCAAATAATGGGTTTTATGTTCATAATTTTGTAATGTTTATTAAATATCAGGAGTTGATTTATCAAGAATCAAACAAGGATTTGTATTACATGATAAACAATTACCAAATCCTTAACATGAACATATTGCACAACAATTTCTAAATTCATCTCTCATTGATGTACAACAAGGTCTCATACAAACATAACATTATTCACAACCTTCACAACAATATTATGCACAATCAGATAATCCCTTCCAACCTTATATAATATGATAATTTATAATTACAATGTTCACAAGTATTCCCCATACTGTTATAATTTAAATATATATATATATTTATTTGATAAATAAAATTATTATCCAATGCATAGAAAACTATCTAGTTTGTTATCATAGACTAGTTGTAAAAAGACTTAGATAATGTCTCCAAACTCTAACACTAGCATGGATATCACTTAACTTACTAATGTATCATAAAACTTATATTAATAGTTACATATGTAGATATTAAAAATGATAGAAAATAATAGTAAGGATACAGATATTATGAAAATTATGGATACAATCAAAATATTATCAAAAGGTTTAGAAAAAGCATCTTAAAGTGAATTGGAATTAGGTTATAAAGATCGTTAATTATAAAAAGCTTAATAATTATATAGTGAATTAGAATAGAAATTTTAAGTGTTAAAGACTAAATATGATGATTTAGAGGGTTAAAATAAAAATCTTAAAACCAAAATTGATGAATTAATGCATCAAAATTAATTAAATTATCATTAATATTAATTACAAACTAAGTTAAGTGGTGATTTAAATCATAAAGTAACTAATCTAGAATCAAGATTAGAAATAATATTAGAAAGTGATTTCCCTAATGAATCTGTTAATATAAGAAAAACATTAACTGATTTAGTGAAGGAATGTGAAAGATAAAAAAGAGAATTATAATTAAAGAATTAGGAAATCTCTAGATTAACTGAATAATATAAATCATCTCAATAAAGAATAAGTAAACTTAATTAAAAACTTGAATTGATGAAAAAAAAAATCTCAATAAGAGAATTAGAAAACTTGGCTTTGGATAGAGCTGAATGGATAGAATAAGATGATAAACAAAATGATCCTACTTAAATTTTGATTAGATATTAAGCTTGTGATAATTTAGATTTTAGAATTAATGCTCTCAAATTAGAATTTGCTGATATCATGAATGATATTTAAGAATAAGGAACCACTGTATTTACTTAGAAGGTGATGTAATCAACTTAAAAATAAATTAAGGAATCCATTTAATTAGTAACTTCGTAATATCTATCTTTTAAAGATTTTTCAGAAAAACTTAATATGATGCTTAAATAGTTAATATCCTTATAATTAATAGAAACTCTATAAGAGTAGATGTAATTCATTGAATATAATTTTAAACATGTTTTTATGTGTTAAAATACAAGATTATGGATATTAGATGCACAAATGGGAATTCTTTATTCTAGTAATAATTAAAGAGTATTAATTAATAAAGGATCTTTTAGTGAAGTATTGCGATTTTAAAAGCCTATACATAAAAGAGATTATAATCTTTTATGTGATAATACTAATCATGTTGCTATGTATACAAATCAAAGTCTTCTTTATCCAATTTTCAATTAAAATCAAATATTATCAGGTATTTTAGAAATAAGTAATTCTGTAAGTGATTATTTTTCTTTTGATGAAGAATATTATGGTGTAATATTAGCTAAGTTTTGTGAATAATTGATAAAAAATTAAATAAAAACAAGATTATTATCAGTCACATTAAAGTTTGATTCAATGGTTTAGAATGCCTTTAATGATTTTCTATTAAGTAAAACACAGTTTGAATTATATAAATATATAAGACATTGGATGGAGACAATATTAACTGTTTCAATGATAGCTTTTTACTTTGTTAAGAATGATTAATTTATTACTTACAAAACTATTGGAACTAGTTGGGATGGTATGACTCATAAGAATGCAATTACTCAAGGAAGAGTTTTAGATCAACCTATTAATTTAAATAAAAAAGGAATTGCAAAATAAGTATGTGATCGTAAGAAAGTAATTATAATTATAAAATTAAGGAATTAATAGTAATGAATATGAGAAAATCAATTGAATTTGATGAAACAATTGATTTAGATTCAATATTACCAGTTTTAATACATCCAATCATTTTTGATAATAAAGTAATTGCTGTATTTGAAGTTCCAATTAAATAAAGAAATTTACTTAAATAAGAGAAAGATAAAATTATGTTAGGTAGTTCAACTATTGTTGGATTGGATTAAAGTTTTGAGATGATGGCAGCTAAATTAGGAACTACTATAATGAATGCAATTAATATTTTAAAGTTATAATGATGTTAATATATAACTAATCATTATTATCTATAAATTATGTCCATATTATATACAATAAATTTTCATTATTTGATATTTAATATACTTTTTTTATTTATATTAGTTACATTGCTAAGTTATTTAAAATTATAGAATATAAATATACAATAAACAATAATTTATCATCATTATTATTAATCTGTTTAGTTGGTATTATTAATAGTCCATGCTCTTATTTCACATTTTAATTTTATTAATTCTTCTCTATTTAAGATACTAGATTATTTATTTAGCTTTTCTTTTATTGATTTTTTTGGAGATTTTAAAAGACTGCTTTTTATAGGTAAAAGAGAATATCTCTTTTTTATTTCTATTAATTTTGAATATCTATTTAATGCTTATGAGTTTGCAGTACTATTTCTATAATTTAATCTAAATGAAAGTAGATTTGATCTTATTTCAAAATCATTCTATCTCATTTCTTAAATTTAGAATCTATTTTTTCTAGTTGATTAATGAATTTGGTTCTTGATTTGCATTATCAATTAGTTTAATCCATCTTCATAACAATTAATTTTTGACATGAATATAATTTATAGATTAATAAGGAACTGAATTGTATTTAAAGTATAATTTATACATTTTATGGAATATGTTATTATTAAGTTTTAATTAATATGTGGAATCAATTTAAATATATATATATATTATTTCAATAATTAAAATTTTGATTTTCTTATTTCTGAACCTAATCAATTTTATAAATCATAATCAATTATATTAATTAAACAAAATATATATTTAATTATATAATTTTATAATTTATTTTTTTCATAATGTATGTCTATGAATTTTAAAGAAAAGCAAGAGAATATCTCCTAGGCTAAAAATTATCTTTGAAATCAATTATGCAAAAATATAATTAAGAAAGATTAGAATAATAAAGATCTTCCAAATAAATGTCATCAATAATTAATACAAAAACTGAGTCATCAGTAATCATAAATGATTCTTTGATAACTGCAACAAGAAATTTAAAGAAAGAAAAAGCTTTTTTGATAAGAAAATCACCAGATAATTATAAAAATTAGATAGAGTAAAAGAAATTTAAATCAATCTATGCAAAATAAATAACACCTTTAAGATAAATGACTATAGCTGAATATATTTATCCAGAACCTATTAGATATGTACGGCATAAATAAATTACATAATCTTCTGCCTTCAAAAATTTTGTTGCATAAAAGTAAATAAAAACTGAGGAATCAGCCCATCAGTAATGTATAACAAGTAGAATTAATAAACCTTTATAAAGATTTGTTAGTGAAACTAGTAAGCAGCGTCAACCTAAAACAAATTAAAATTTATAAATGGAATAACTTCGAAAATTCAGTGGATGGAGTATTAATAGCAATGAAAGCAAATATTGATTTATATTTCTTTTTCATTAAGTTAATCTGTAATAATATAAATAATAAGTTATTGATTAATTTCTAAATATGTATAATTTAAAGATAAAATTTTTGGTAATAATAATTTATTTATCATAAATGCATAATTGTTCTGTAAATGAAAAAGAGTCTCATAATTATATTATTTTGATAATAATTTATATTGAATATAAATTAATTAATAATCAAATATCATGTTAATATTACAAATTATATGTTTCTCATTATTTTTGGAAAATGTTTACAATTCTTTTAATTATTAACTATTAATATGTATATATTTAATTTATTTATTAAAAATGAAAATTAATTAATACATATATGTAAAATTAATTGAAAAAAATAGTTTACTTGGAAAGATGGATTACATTAATGATGATAATAAAAAAATAATTTAAATGTTATAGTATTATTCAATATTGGATTCACATAGTAAATTAAATTTAGACAATCATTACAATTACAAATATTAAATCTAATAATGAATATTAGAATTTGACTACTTTACTTTATGGATTATTTATTTCAATTATTAGACCTGAAATAGGAATTATTAACTATATTCCAATAGAAATTATATTTATTGTTACGTTTATCATGGTCATTTTACATAAACTTATTATTGGGCTATTATTATATAATTTTTAAAATTATTTTAACACTCATCTAACTCTGATTAATTAATTATTACTCTTATTTGTTGGAATTTATTAATAAACAATTTGTAAGTTTTTAGGATTATTTTTGTAAACAATTTGTTTTATACAAATATAAAAATCACAAGAATAAATCTAATATATAATTTTATCATGGATTATAATTTGCATTATCTAAATAGACATATTTATAACCTTTACAATTACAGAATCCCCTTTAACATATAAAATTCTATTTTATGAAAAGAGCAGAATATTTTTCTCAGCTTTTTTTTCTAATATATTAAAATTAATCTCTCACATCCTGTATTTTATAGTTTTAGATGATATTAATACTAATTAGATTCTACTCATAACTTCTATTATAACTATACTTATTTCATTTATTGAGATTGCAGAATAATTACAAAAGCAGATTTACATTTATAAATAAGCATAAAATATTGTATTTATTATTAACATTTTTAATATTTTATATGCTATCAAATCTATTTTAAGATTAACAACTAATAATTAATTATTTATACAATAAATCTTAGTAATTTTATATCCAATTTTACTTTATTTAGTAATAATAATTAATAAGAAATAAGATAATAATTGTTTCTAAAGTTTATATCTATCTCCAACTATAATTTTAGATAAATTCAAGTATTCATTGATTAAAAATTTGAATAAAATCTAAGAAGACGAATCAATGACACTCATTCAAGATGCATTAATCTATCTCTCACATAAATAATTTTGTTAGAGCTCTGAATGTATTTGTCACACAACTACTTATTATTCTGATGTTTCCAAAATTGCCCCATTAACTATTTAAATGAAACAATAATTTTTCAAAAAAAAATTAAAATAACTCTCTTGTTTACTTTATTAATCTGTATAAGGTTCAAAAATAAAATTATTAGAGTAAGTTATTAATCATTCTATCATGCAATATGATTTTGGTTTATCGATTGCTGCAATTAAGACACTCAATTCTATTTTAATAAGTGATACTTAATCTACATACTTTTCTATTTCTTTTTAATCTTCAAGTACTGTTTAAACAAAGATTGATACAAATACTCTAGCATTATCAAATAATTCAGAAACTGCTGAATTAAGAGAATGTAATTTCAATTTTAAAGTTAATTTATCACTTATTCAAAGAATTAAGATAAAAATCATAATAAGCATAGCTAAATTTGAAATGAAAAATTTATTGTCTCAATCATTCTATACTTATTCTTAGAATGTTATTATTGATTATTTATAAAAATTTCTGACATTTGAATTTTAAATGGATGATATCAAAACAATGATTATTTAATAGGCTTAATAAAAAGTTAATTATTATCAAAAACTCAATCAAGATAGTTCCTTTAATCTCAATAATATTTTATAAATAACAAGAGATACATGTAATTAAATCATATAAACTAATAAAATATTAAAATCTAAATTTTCAGATTATCCTTGTTTGAGCATACAAAATGCTATTTGTTATTATGAATCTGAAATTACTAATAATTATTATGAAGCTAGAAAAGTAAGTAATTAAACTTCTATGTCTGATGAAAAATTTTTAATGTTTAATTCAAGTTTGATTAGTAATAAAGATAAGATTGGTTATCTTCTAATCGAAATCTCAAATGATTTTTAATAAACAGAGATTAAATTTGCTTCTAATTAATTTTAAAAATTATTTGAAAGAAAAAACTATGACTAAAAATTACAATTAGATGATCTATTACCTAAATTTCTTATTAAATAACATCCTACTTTTATTTAGAATTTTTTAACAACAGGACATTCAAAATTTTTCTAAAATTTTCAGTTAAATTTTTTAAATACAAATGATGGATTAATAAAAGGAGTAGGAATGTGTTATGATTTAACTAAAATAGAGAAATAATAAGATTAATTGATTTTTGCAGTTTTCTTTTAAGAATTATCTGACTCTAAAGCATATGTTTTGGTTGATGGAATTACAAAGTATAGTTATTTTAGTGAATGTTTTTTGAAAAAATTGGGGTTTCAAGAACATGAGATTAAATTTATTAAATCTTCAAATATCTTATCAAATTTATCAATTTCATATTTATTACCTGATTATGATACATTAATTGATATAAATGAATAAGAAATTAGATTACAAGGAGTTGATTTATATTTTGCTAATATCTTTAGATTATTTAGTACAATATTTACAGAAAAGAAAGTTTAAAATTCTTAGAACACATTTACAAAAATTGCTTGGCATAGAAAAGATAAATTATTTAAATATAGTGTCAATTTATAAATAACAAGAAGATAGTTTAATGAATTATATTACATAATAATTGAAATATTATCAATAGAAGCAAATTCATAAACTAATATAATTGATTCAATAAATCGAATTGAATGCCAAAATTATTTATAGAAAAATGAATGTTCAATAAGTGAAGAATCTGAAAGTTATTCTTCTGGTTAAATCAACCTTTAATATTAAGATGTACCAAATAAAGTTGAAATATTTCAAGGATTAAAAAATGAATTTATTTTGTCTCATCATTAATTAGATTCATTAAGTTAACCAAGAATTACAATATGTGAACCAGGAAGGATTGTAACACCTAATGAAAGTTCATCTGATACAAAAAGAAAGTTTCATTCAAGGAATCAACAACAATTTTATTCACAAAAGCTATCCTAAGCAGATATTTAAGCTTTAATTTCAGAAAAAAAATTAGATATACCTTATGATGATGAATAGCAATAACAATTAAAAATGGATTAATTATCTGATAAGTCTTCTATAGAAGATGAATAAAAAAAGAAATTCATGAAAAAATTTGAACTTGTTTAAAAATTAATGGTTTACAAAAGACCATTAAAACTTATTGAAATTTTATCTCTTCTAACACTTTAGAATATAATCTTTACAATATTTTCTTTAATTGCTATAACTGTGATGTTTAATGACTTATCTTAAGTTCTTAAAGAAATTGATACAATATCATTACATTCAAGTATAATGGTTAAACATGACATATTCTTTTCAATTAGAGCTACCATTAAAATTTATTAGGAATATTAAAAAAAAAAAGTCCTTTTAAATGTAACAAATCTAATATCACCTTTCTATAATAATTTAGCTGAATCTTATTTAGATTATTAAAATGATTTATATAATCAGTTTTAGAATTTAAATTTATAACCTTATCTTGACGATTATTATTTAATTATTTACTAATTAGAATCCCTAAGTAATTAATAATTGTAGGAAAAGAATGTAACTGTAAGAGAAGCATTAATGATTAATCTCTAATATGAATTTGCTGTTTTGGATGCTTTTCTAAATTAAAAAGATATTTCTAATTCAACCTTTCAAGTATTTTTATTTACAAATTTTGTGAAATTACATTAATATTTGGAAGATCTAACTAAAAATTTACTTTCTGAATCAACAAACAGAAGTCTTAGTGTTGCCAGTAAATGGATGGTTATTTGGATCTTTTTTTAAATTGGAGCATTAGTTTTAGCAATTTTTAATTTTTATTGCTATTATAATTATATTACATTTTATGATAAGTTTTTATTAGCTCTAAAATTTATTGACTCAGAATTGATAGCTCAAGAAATTGAGCGATACAAAGAAATGATAAAAAAACTAAAGGATAATAGTAGACATGTATTTGAATACAAAATTGATTTGGATTAAATTTAATAATCTAAAACTAATAAACGATAATTATCAATTAAAAACAAAGAAATCATCAATAAAAAAGTCATAAAATTACGAAGATTTTCATCATTTATGTTAATATTTGTTTTGAATTTAATTTTTGGAGGTTACTCTGCCATAATTAATTAAAGAACATAAATATATTTAAATAAATACGAAAAAACAGCAAATTTATTCAAACTCTTTTAGGATTTAAGTTTAAGTGGAGGAAATTGCTTTTTATATAAAGAAATATTACTTGGTTTTAATAATTATACTTTTTATTTTTAAGAAGATAGAGGAAATATGTATAAGATGCTATACAATTCTTTAGATTCTATTTAGTAATATTTAAACTTAAGTAATACTTTAGATTTTAACACTTATCTTGCTACAGATTCTTTTATTATTCTTTTCAATGATTTAAAAACTAATTCCTTATGCTAATATTTTACTCAAGTATGTAAAAAATTATGATATAGGAATATTTATATCCATATTGCTAATTATCATTTGATGGTGTTCTATCTTCAGGGTTAGTTTCATCCTTAAATTACATATAAAATACTATCAAAACTTAATAAGCCATCAACAACTTTACGTTTAAAACAGACTATAACTTATATGAATAAGAAGGAAGTTAAATAATAACAAGAGCTTTCTTGAATATGTCTTTAACTTTTAAAGAAGATTTAACATCACTGACATAAAATTAAACTGACTTAGCATATGTATTTATTCTTATTCTTATTTAGAATTTATCTATTGCATTTTTCATATACTCATTCATTGTCACATTTTGTTTATTATTTTATCTAAAGTATCATTTAACTAATGAATACTATATAATTAGAAGAATTATAAGCTTAATTCCAATTAATGTTTTAATGTTTGATGAGACACTAGACAGATATTTAAGGGAGATTGCCTTGCACCAAGAATTATTGTGAAAAATAGTTTATACCAAAAAATTTATGGTTTTCTTTTGAATTCAAAATGATAAAAATAGTTATTATTTTCTGTTTTATTAATGTTGTTTTCCTATATAGAATAAATAAAGTTAAGTACTTTCAATTATATTTATTTTATAATAAAATCTTATTAACTATATTTATATGTATATTAAATTTTTTACATTATAAAATCATTTGAATGAAAGAGTATTTTTATTCAAAGTGATCTATGATGGCTAGAGTTGGGAAATAAGAAGAACAATAGGATAATTTTAACAATTAGAAAAGGATATGGCCAATAATATATTTTACAAAATTTTCTAAAAAAATAAGATCACATTTGAGTAATGCTTATTCATGCATAACTTTTTAATATCTCTTTTAATTTAATTAAGATGGTGTAAGTTTATCATCAGGAACATTTAATAAATTATATTTTAATTCATCTAAAGCTTCTTTAGGTGCTAAACCAAGTTTAACTTATAGAGTTGTAATTTTCTTTTTAAGTTCATCATTATTTTAATCTGTTTCTAATTCCTATTATAATGACAATAATTGTTATTCTAATTAAGACTTCTTGTTTTATCTACTTTATTATATAGATTCCTATAATCTAACTCTCATTCTTTATCTATTTTCATCCTTTCTCTTTAAATCTTCTGCACTTACAATTTTCTATACAATAGGTATATCAATATATATTGGATCTAAAAATTACAATTAATCATCATAAAATCTATTTTATTCAGATATTTTATCTCTATATCCATAATATTATTATGGTCCCTAGAAATAACTCAATTAGAGTTCATAATCTATAGCCACACTAGTATATTATTTATGCCAATAATCCATTTAACCATATGTAAATTTCAAATGTGGATGTCTCAATTAGATTGTTTAATAAAAGTATTTCAAACTGTTTAAACCTCCCAAATTCAGTCTTTTGATATTTGAATATATCACTTGACCATTAACAATTGGTACTACAT